ACATTTCAGGGCTTGATCGATACGGCTGTGAAAACCTCTCGTTCGGGCTATTTGCAGCGTTGTATCGTGAAACATCTGGAAGGTCTAGTGGCACAGTACGACTCTACCGTACGAGATCATGATGGAAGCGTTATTCAGGTATTTTTTGAAATAATTTTGGCAATTTTGAACCGGTATTCCTGGCGATCTTGCTGAAAATTGTTGTATTATGCTGGTTTACAAAGGTACTTTTCATGATCCTAGCTGTGTATTTGGTGACCGCATCTGTTGCAGTTTCGTTACGGCGAAGATGGTATGGATGTGTGTAAGAGTACATTTATGAATTCGGAACAATTCGATTTTCTTGCTGATAATGTAGAAGTACTGCGCTCTCGTGTTGTACCGGCAGATGTTGATGAGAATGAATGGGGCTTGAAGAAATGTCAAAAAGCATACAAAAAGGCATGTTTTTGCGCTAAAATTAACTCAGTTTTGTAATGCAGCCAGTTTTGGCTATTTCGGATTTGTCTAGTTCGTCATAGCCAATATTCGTCTTGCGTTTTCATTAGTGACCACGTTTCACATCCGTGTCATTGCTTTTTGCACAGTGGTGCTGAAGGGGTGAGCAGATTGCTGTTTTGCGGTTTGACACTTTGAGGACATGGGCGATTCTGTGAAGATTGTGCCAACTGGCGTTTCTTACGTTTACCTAATCTCCGGCCCAACACTACGCTGTGTATTTTGTTTTTTGGCCGAGGTAGACGTAGCTGTCTGCTACGTTAATCTGGAGTCTGGTTTCAAGTTTAGTGGCATTAACAGCAGCAGTAATAGGAATAATGAATGTGAAAGTGTTTGGATTCTCACGTTTGTGAACAAAAGAGAACAGGCCTGAATCGGCCTTCAGCCTTAAGACACTGAGTTGGAATTTTTCAAAAAATTTTTTGTTTTTAAAAATATTTTGTGCAGTATTTCGCACTATTATTTGCTGAATGCAGTCAAAAGAAACTTAGGAATAGGTATCACTGATATTTGTTAGGTATATTTGTTAAAATTCAAGCATTTTTTAGATAAAAAAGTGGCGCAAAAAATATGGCGATCAATGCACTGGTAAAGTATATAA